AACTCTTCCAAATTTTGAAAACGAATGCGCGCGGGGCTAAGGCGAGAACTACATGTTGAAAACCAACCGCCCTCAATCGGTGAAACTCTTGCAAATTGTGATAACGAGAGTGCGCGGCTCTAAAGCGAGAGCCACATGTTGAAAACCATCCGCCATGCATGTGCGAAGCTGCTTCCAACTCGTAAGCTCCAGGGTCATAAATGGTGAGGAAGTCTCAGGCGAGACGCCCAGCCCGCCCTTTCGACCGGCCTCAGGGTGCGACGGGGGGGAATTATTCACCTGAAAACAGGAATGGAGGAGGAGGAGGAGGAGGAGGAGGAGGAGGAGGAAAGGAGGAGGAGGAGGAGGAGGAGGAGGGAGGAGGAGGTAAGTAAGGAGGAGGAGGAGGAGGAGGAGGAGGTAAAGGAGGAGGAGGAGGAGGAGGAGGAGGGAAGGATCAGGAGGAGGAAGAGGAGGAGGAGAGGGAGGAGGAGGAAGAGGAGGACGAGGAGGAGGAGGAGGAGGTGGAGGAGGAGGAGCAGGAGGAGGAGAAGGAGGTAAGGAGGATGAGGAAGTAAGGAGGAGGAGGAGGAGGAGGAGGAGGAGGAGGAGGTAAAGATGAGGAGAAGAAACTGCTGCTGCTGCTGCTGCTCCTCACGGTTGCCGGACGGTCGAGTACAATGACCCACTTTCTCAACTGGAAGCTCTTGCTCCTGGCTCCTGCTAGTTGCTACATGCTGCCACAGAGAGAGAGAGAGAGAGAGAGATCACCGCCAGAAGGGCCGAGGGACGGCGGAGGAGAGTCAGGGGGAGGAGGAGGTATGGAGGAGATTGGGGAGGAGGAGGAAGAGGAAGAGGAGGAGGAGGAGGAAGAGGAGGAAAAAAAACAAAACATGTTGGCGCGGTTTTGGGAACGCGGAGACGCGGATCGCGACGCCGTTGCGTCACCCCGCGCGGCGCCGCGGCTGCCGCGGCCGAGCGCCCGCGGGACGGCGCCTCTCGGGCCTCGAACTCGAAGAGCGGCTCGTTGCCCACGCTGTAAGAACCGACCACTCTGTAGTCGGGGTTCACCAAGTCCAAGCTTGAAGTAGCTCGTCCTCGGAGTTGCCGCGCTTCGCCTTCTCGAAGGACATGCGGGTTCGCGGCGCAGGCCCAACCCTCTCCTCCAACGGAGCCCAGAATCGATGTAGCGAGCCCACGGTGCACATGCGGCTTCACGGCACTGTGCCCAACCCACTGCTCCAGTAGAGCCATTCTTGTGATAACTAGCCCACGAAGTCGAAGTGGTGTACATCTGTGAACAGCGTGTTGGTTCGCGGCGCAGGTCCAAGCCTCTCCTCCAGCGGAGCCCAGACTTGAAGTAGCTAGCCCGAGGTGTTATTGAGGGTTCGCGGCGCAGTGTCCAGCCCACTCCTCCAGCGGAACCCAGGCTTGAAGTGGCTAGTTCGCGAAGCGGATGAAGGTGGCCTACGCGACGAGCATGTGGGTTCGCGGTGCAGTGCCTAACCCTCTCCTCCACCGGGGCCCAAACTTGACGTGGCCAGCCCTCGGTGATGGAGTGGGCTGCCTCCGCGATGGTCTTGCGGGTTCGCGGCTTTGTGCCCAGCCCTCTCCTCCAGCGGAGCCCAGATTCGAAGTGGCTAGCTCATGCGGATGAAGGGGGGGGGGGGGGGCCGCTGCGATGTCGCGGCGCAGTGCCCAACCCTCTCCTCCAACGAGGCCCAGACTTGAAGCGGGAACCACAGGGGCATGGCGTCGCCGGCGAGCCCGCGAGGGGCCCGACGTTCAAACTTCCTCCGCTTCCGCCTGCCAGCTACCAAGTGGCGCCGCCCGCACACCTAGCTACAACGACTGCCTCTGCGCTGCATCTGTCAGGTGCCAAGTCGGGTCGGCCGAGCTCGATTGCCGCAATGTGGGTTCGCGGCGTGACGCCCAGCCCTCGCCTCCAGCGGAGCTCCCAGTCCCTTTCGGGGCACGCGTGGCCACTGCGGTGTCCCGTCGACGCTGCTGGCGAGCAGCCATTTCCAGGATGTGTTGGATATCATACTGAGGTAGTGTGCTGCTGTGGCGTTCAAGGCATGCTGCTGAAAGTGACTGCCGAGGTGTCCGCGAAGGCCTGGGCTCGACCTGCCAGCGCAGAGCGCGCTGTGCAGCATGGGGCGGGGGAAGTGTGTCAGCTGCCCACCTATCATGATGCCACTCTGCGGTGCCGCAGTGATCGCGAGTCGTTGACAAGGCCTGCTCAACCAGTTCAGGATCAGGTACTTTGGCCCAGCGCGACTGATTGATTGTCTGCAACCTGAGCATTCCCATCCCGTTTGAATGTCACCGATGAGGGCGCGCAGGCTGGCGCCTGTCAAGTCGGTCAGTGGTGGTGACTTCACCTCGCGTTAATCGTTGGCCTCGTCGGCTCTAACCTGTCGGCGGCTAGCCGGCATGGGCGACTTGGCTTCGAAGGCGCCTCAAGTGGCCCGGCAGATCCAGCCCCTGACCCTCGCCGCCGTGGCCCGCGCCTAGTCGCGGCAGTCGAGCTGTCCTGCGGGCATCGCGTGGCCCGCAGCGGCTTGGTCGGCAAGCTCGTCCGCGATCCCGTTGCCTGCCCGGGCGCGCTTGGGGCAGCCCCTGGAGAGGGCTTCCTGCAGTGCGAGGCGGCTCTCGGTCTGGAAGACAGATCTCGCCCTCGCGGCCGTCGATGGCGCGGCCGATCTGGGACCAAACGCCGGCGTTGGCTCCGACGTTGGCGCGCCAGATGCGCCCCTGTCGTCGCCGCCCCGCTGCGAGCGCGGCCGAGTACGTCCAGTTGTGCAAAGCTCCAACGCACAGCGACTGCAACTGGGGAAGGCCCCGACTTCCGCGCCTCGGTTGCTCTGGCGCGGCCCAAGGAAAGACCCTCGGATGCCAGCGCACGCGCAGCATCATTGTCGGCCCCACTTGCGAGTCGCACTCTATCTAGCCCAGCCACATCGCGCGCGTCGAATTTCTCCAGGCCGCTCACCCCCGCCGCCGCCCCCATAACCAACTATCGGCGCTTTGGCTGCAGCCGTGACTCTCGTCTGGCCGACGGCATCGCCCATGCAAACGTCAGCCCCCGCCGTCTCGCAGGGGTTGGGCCGCGTCCATTTTTGGGGAGTGAGGCCTCGCAGCCAGCAGCGGGGGGTGTCCTCGGCATGGGCGTCAGCCCGTCTAACCTGTGCGTTCGTGCTCTCGTAGATGTGGCGGTCGGCCCTGGCAGCGCAGTCGCCTGCGGCGGAAGTCGCCCTCGTCGCGGCCGCAAGAGCAAGCGTCGCCCTTGATGCCTTTCTGGGTCTCCCGAGCTCCTGTCCAGGTACCAGCACAGGCTGCCGCGAGAGGTGCCCCATGCTCGGCGTGACAACCATGGTGTAGGAGGGAGTTTGGTCTTCGCAACCCTTGCCGTTGCGGTTGGCGGCCTGTCCCCAGAGCTTCCGTCGGACGTGGGCCTCTACCGCGTCGATAATTTCCGTGGGATCTCCAATTTGTTCTGGGTCGGTGAGCTGCCAGACTCCGCCGTGGGCGTCGGTCCATGAGTCCGCTCCTTCACCGTCCCATCCACATGCTCAGAGTGCATGTATGAGTCTACCAATGGCCCCCCATCGCTGTGGCCAACGACGCCGTGGAGCAGCTTCCAGGAGTCGGTGTCGACTGGCAGGCCAGGCTTTGATGATGCCAGGCCGTAGGACGGGCCGTCGGGCCAACGTGGCGAACCAAGCGCGCACTCACAAGATCGGAATGCGGACTGCTAGGTCCGGCCCTAAGTCTAGCAGCGCGGCGAGACAGCGCCCCGCCCAAGGGTTGCGCAGGGCCTTCGCGCAAGACTGTCGGGTCTTGAGTATCTCCGGGGGTGAGGCGCCGTAGACCCTCTGGTTGTAGGAGGTCGATGGCACCGACCCCGCGTTGGTGATCTGCCCCCCCTTCTTCACTGGTAGCGGTCGTAGCTCCTTCCATGTCCTGCCCATGCGCCGCAGTGTTGCTTGTCGTCGTTTCTGGTGAGTGCGCGGTGCGGACTCCGCGGTCTACTCCAGGGGCCCCTACCCTCGACAGTCTTGGCGACGGGGGCCCCCAGCTGGCGGGCCCCTTGGATCGCGTCATCGGCGATGGAAGGCTCGCCTGTGACGTGCGCGGACTTGTCGGCCATCGCGAGGTGCTGTTTGCGAAGCTCGATGAAGACGCTGCGCGCGGCCATCGCGAGCTGGTCCTTCAGGTTGTCGCGGCCCCCCTCGCAGTGGATGCTGATGTCGTCGAACTGGGCCCTCGGTGGGCGCAGCGAGGCTGCCGCGGCAATGCCCGAGGACGACGTAGACCACGGCGCGCGCGAGGTTCTTCGAATCGCGCGAGCCAGCAGGTAGTGAACGGCGAAAGTGGCATGGCTCGCCAGCAGTCCCCCGTGGGCGAAATACTCGCGCAGCGGTGTGCACGAGCACAGTGATAGTCGGCGCCCCTGGCGGAACCGTGGTAGAGGGGCGAATCGTGGAATCCTTGGATGTCAGTCAGCCAGACTGGAGCCATGCGCTACGTTACGATCACCAGAAGCTTCGTCGGACGTCGCGCGGCACAACGCTTCGCGCAAGCACTCGCGCGCTGCAACTGCGGCGCCCTACTCGGGTGGCATCGATGTGGCCCGCTCGCGGATCTGGCGGCGGTCGAGTAACTCCCCAAACCGGCAGAACCATGTCATGAGCGCGAGGGCCCCCGTACCGCCCCTGGCCTTCGGCTGGAGCATGATAGGCGCCAACGTACATTGCCATGGAAACCACATGTGAACCTCGCAGCGGTTGAATAGGTCAGCCAACTGTTGTCGTCCTGCTGGCGGTAGTCTTCGGGTGTCGGTCATCGCCATCTTGTCGGGTCCTCGGCCCTAGTCGGGCTCGCCTTGTGGGGCGCGGCCCAGGTCCTCCAGGCTCCAGGTGGGTGTTGTAGCCTCGGTGGATTCGCCCCGTGGCGTGGCAATAAGCTGGATGATGTCGTCGTCGGTGGTCTCTGGCGTCTTCAAGAGCTGGCTGAACCTCGGCGTTTATGACAGTGGCGTCGTCGTGCTTGCGGCCCTCGGCATAGATGTAGGCGCCTTCGTATTGCTGCTCGTTCTTCGTGGTGCGGTGGGGCGCCCCTGGTCTGGAAGCCACTGTAATGCGTGCCCACAGCGCGCACTCACGATATCCAGCTCGGATGCATCGACGGAGCACCCCCGCCGCCTTTTCTTCAGCTTGCAGCGGCGTGTCCTTGATGATGTCGCGGTCGAGCTTGCTGACGTCGTCCAGGCGCTCCTCCTAGAAGCGTCGGTGGCACGCGGCAGTGGCGGATTCTCAACGTCCAAATGGTGGAACTCCCAGTGCGACGAGCTCTCGGAAGCTCTAGGCGATGGCAGCTTGCTGCTGCTTGCCTTGGTTGCGGGAGATGAGCGCGTCGCAGTGGCTGAGTGCTGTCGCTGCTCTAGCCCGCCAGTCGGCACGGCAATCTGCGCGCCCTGCTCGTCGGTGGCCCGTGGGCGTAGCCGCTGCCCCCACCCGCTTGAACTGGCGCGCCCGCCCGCGCCCCTGGTGCTTAACTTTATCTTCGTCGTGAATGTCGCAAGCGGAGCGGTGGAAATCTTTGAAATGCGCCCATGCAATTGGCGCGCTGCTGTCCCGCAAGTCGCGCCCCGGAGCTGCGGGCGCGGTGGCTGATGCTCCGGCTGAGGTGGTGGGGCGCCCCCCATTTGTCCAGGGGGCAAGCGGGCAAGACCGCGCCCGGCAAATAAAACGCGGTCAAACATATTCGAAAAAACATTCCAAAATGATAGGACCCCCCCTGACAATGTTTTCACCATTTTTGAAAATTCCCCCTGTAGAAAGACATCCTCGACTTAAGACGAGCGATCACCGGTTGCCCGTCCAGCTGCGCGTCGTCGCCGCTCGGCCTCCACGGCGGCGGTGGCGACGGTCCGAGGCTGGAAGGCCGGCGGCGCTGCGGTGGGATTTCCTGCCAGCAGCTGCGGCCCACTGCGGGCAGGCCCGAGGGCGGCGTCGCAGGGGCGCCCTCGGCCGTCACTGCCTCCATCTCGCATGGTGGGGGGTCGTCAGGATATTCAAGGGGTAGCTGCTGTTGCTGGTCTCCCCCGAGGTCGGGTCGCCCTCGGGGAGGGCGATCGGGTCGCCCATCGCCCGCGGCGCCGTCGCTCGACGCGCGCTCCCAGCCGCAGGGCCCGAGGGCTTCCCAGCGAGCGCTCAGCAAGTCGTCTTCAATGAATGCCTGCTGGTGCTCGGGCTCGCGCCGTGGAGGTCACCGTGGTCGGCCTGCTGCGCCGCGCTCTCGCAGCCGTCGTTGCCTCCTGCTGTCGGGGCTCGGTGTCGTCTTCGGCAATCGCGGGTGAACAGAATTTGCCGGCGTTGACAGTTGGCGAATCCAGCAAACCTCCGATTCGCCCCTTATCCGCTGGACATGCTCCGAGCGGGGCATCCATGGCGCTGGCGCGACAACGTCGACGTCGATGACGCGCGGGGGCGCGCGGGGCCAGGGATGGCGCAGTCGATGATCGGCGTGTCGGGCCCCTTCTTCGCGCGGGTGAAGCCAGCGTCGGGCGCGGCGGCAACGGCGGCGGCCCCCAACGCCGACGGCCATCCCGAGCGCCGAAGGGCATCGAGTGAAACGCTGGAGCCCCCTTGCAAGATCCATGGGCACTGCGTCGTCTTGAGAAATCAGCCGATGCAACTGAGCCCCCGGGCGATGCTCTCCGACTTGAGCGGCGCGCCGTGGTCGAGGTAGGCGGCCCCAGCGCGCCGGGCAATGGGCCGGGAAATGCGCGCGCCGCTTCCTGCTCCAGGCAGGCGGCCCTGAGGGGGGCGGCAGGGGCCAGCCCCTCTTGAGACCTGGGGCCGCCCGCTTGGACCAGCGCCGCGCGAATCGCCACGGGCCCGCCAGGGGGGCGATCGGGCGAGAGCGGTCCGCGAGCAGCGCGCGCGGTATATTGTGGCAAAGATCCATGGACCCCCACTGTGACCGAGCGAGCCTCGCGAAGACCTCCGCGGGCAGGGGCGCGCGTGGACCCGCGGAAGCGGCGCGGCGCAGCCGTCGGCGCTCCTTGGCGCGGCGGGAAGCGTGGTCGATGCCCTTCTCGCAGCCGAAGACGCAGCGAGCGCCCCCCTGTGCTCGATGGTCGGCGATCCAGCATCCGCACCGCGCCCCAGGAGCAGTCGAGCGCCCGTTTGGAGGGGGGGAGGGACGAGGCCTGTCCTGGATGAGATCCCATCGTGCTTGTCCGATCCACAGGCCGCGTAGAAACCGCCCCTCGAGCCGCGTCGGCAGAAGTCCTCGAAGCCCGCGTCGAAGAGGGGTTCTTTTTGACTTTGCTTAGATCAGATTGTGGGTGTTGTCAATTTGCGTTGTAGTGTCCTGCGTCGCGGATAGCATCGCCCACTCCGCCCCGGCGCGCGTCGCGGGGGAAATCCCGCGCCGCTCGTTCGAGGAAGTTGGCAAATGGCGGAATTCGCCGGGAGGTCGGGGCGAAGACAGAAACAGATCTCGGCCGGG